AAGGAACTATTGCTGACATTTGCTGGGAGTTTCTTAAGACTTAAGCACATGAAAATAGAGAATAAAGGCTGGTAATCCAGAACATCATCTTGTATGAATGAGAATCTTGTTTAATTGTTTTTGTCAAATGAATCAATGATTGAAACATATTGTTATTGTGTGGGTTCAACCAAAATCTATATTTTTGCGAGTGTAAGCCCTGAAGCAGCCGCTATACTCACTCCACCCTAAGGACATCACTGACTGGCAGCTGGGTCTAGTTTTGAATCATCATAAACCTACCAACTTTTCTTAAGATTTATGATGTTTATGATTATTGGACAATCCCTGGCCCCTCAACCAACCAGCTTAACATAATACCAACCAAAAAAGTACCCAACTAGGCATTTTAGAGATTTAAACTCATTTCTCTTATTGTGGCAGATTACTCAAAAAACTTACTCATCGTCACCCTATATTCTCGGTCTAACCCATTATAGGCTAGCTTGTCCACTATGACGTGTATCCAGTAGTATATGACATCTCCCTTTTTCACTTGAAACTCAGGGATGTAATAACTCCATCTTCCATTTCTCTTCTTGGTGATGTCCACTCCAAAATGTCCATGCTGGAGCCCTTGGAACTCTTCATTTATGTTGATATGGTAAGCAACGAGTTTGATTTCTGGGTCATCATCTATGAATAAAATGTAATACGGTAACTTAACTAACAGCATGTGTTGAAAAAAAATTATTTTTGCTTGGTTAAAGTTGGGGTGAAGACACAATGTATAATATTTACCCAGTAATGGATCTAAAAAAAATCATTGGTTATATGAGGGTGAAAAAATATACATTTTAGTTAAAAACCTTGTGTGGAGGGGTTTTCACATTGAAAATTTACAAAACCAACCACCCTTGGTGCAGCTTGCAGATTCAAAATTTGCAGTAAACTCAAAAAGTCATTAGCCTATTACGTTTTTGAAATTTTAATATCACACAGTATCAATAATAATATAAAGAGTATAAGAGAAGAATCTAACAAGGAGGTATATTTGGAGGTGAACAAGAGGTAGAGGTGTAGAATACTATTGTAGTATCGTGGTACTAAAAAATATAAAAGAAATAGACAGAATAATAAACTAACCCTTGGAATTATTTGTATACTATACTTTTTTATAAAGCATTTAAAATATTAATTTTATTCATCATACTGTAATAGTTTTATGAATGAAAAAAACAAATGGAAATTTTACAAAAGTTAAACAAACGCCTTAAATATATAATACAATTTGAAGCCTCTTTTTGAAAATTTTTGCTACATGTACTTTAAGTTTAAGTACTATTGCTGGTTAAATACCTTTGAGTACTGTTGAATAAATATTTGTATCTTATTTTTACACCGTAAATTATTCAGGGTTTATAAACTGTTTTATAACTATTATTATATTCTATATAGACATTCCATCCGTATGTTAAAGTTGTAGCCTGGTTTTTAAGCAAATTCGTCTTAGTTGATGTGAGCCACCTACAGATTGCGCTGATCTAAATTACTGATTTCTGCAGATTACACGATGGTTTTTACCAAGTCAAACTGATGGAATGACTTATTATGAGCTATAGCAACTGTTGTGACCCAGCAACTATGTCAGTAACAAAAAATAAGGTACAAAATAGAGTTTTAGACACTAGCGCAATCTGTGACTGGCTCACACAACTACGTTCTTTTTTAGTAAAAAAACTGGCGACAGCTGATCCATATAGATGGGATGTCTTCACTATATAGTTATAACTATTTTTTTATATATTTTGTAACTATTATTTTACTACAACAATGCTACAGAACAGCATATGCCAATTATATTGTAGCATTAAGCATTCAAAACATGTTTAAAGTTAAAGAGTAATCCAAATAAAATATAAATATAAATAGGGAAACCGCCATTCACGGGTGGCAGTCTTCAAACAATTTATTTCCAAATATAAATATAAGAGTGACAATTAATAATTAAATATATTACACAGCAAGAACCTTTAATAACTAAAATATTACTGATGGTTATGAATCAAACATAAATAAATCTAATATAATATTTGGTTAAAGTAGCCTACCAAGGAAAAGGTAGAACCTACAGAGCATCCATATATGGTTAATATAGTTTATAAGTTAGTTAACATTATTAGTTGTAATAAGGTAGACAGGAATTAAATAGATAAAAGGCATAGTTACAGAATGTGAAGAAAACCTTAGAATTGTATTTTTGCTCCCTCTATAAATCTACAAGGGGATATTTTTACTCCATGCTAACACTCTATTTTTACAATTAAGAAGTTTATCCACTAAACAAAAATAACAAGTTGACTTCAATCAAAACAAAAATTCTAATTAAAATTAACTTCCAACTTTTATGCTAGCATTGTAAACTGTTCACTTACCTGGTATAGAAATCCTTAACCCTCTTGGACTAAGAAATTCCAAAGATGCCTCGGGCACAATGTATCTTTGACTTTGTACACCACAAAGTAATGCAGTGAGTGCTAAAACATGACAAACCAAGTTGCTCATTGTTACACAAAACAACTCATCTGACTGAGGGGTTAGGTTTGACTAAAATCAGCTGATTATACCAACTACCAACCAGCTGATATGAGCAACAAGAATATGCGAGGTCATCTCTGGTCAACCGGTTTTGTATTTGTGCAGACTTTCCTCAAAGAGCTAAGGGATTCCCAGATTTCATTATGAGGGATAACAATAAGTACAAACTACCGTAATGCATTTTCAGATTTGTTTACCAGATTTCCGATTTAACCAGATTATACTATCAAAATACATTGTCTACATTGTTTACGTAATTGAAGGTTATCATACGTTTCTGATTTTATTTAGGCGTTTGAACTTTAAGCTATGAACTAACTTGATTTATTCTTATGATATAAAAACATTTTATATTTTTTATAATTTTAAATAAGTTTATAAAAAATATTTTTTCTTGAAAAACTTTAAACAAAATGGTTTCTATGATTTTACTTCCATGTGAATAGCATTGTGTATTAAAAAAAACTATATATGCTTCCAACGATGATCAAAAACAATTAAAAGTTCAATGTTAAGCTTTTTAGCGAATTTCCCTATAGGGAAGTAGCTATTACCGTAGGTGGCACGGTAAGACCTAGACCCGGGACCGATTTACTTTTTCATTTTGATGTCCCCAGAGGCTAAAAACACCATTCGTTCAAATGTTTATATATGTATACATATATAGACTTATATATATATATATATATATATATATATACGTCCGTGAACGCGATAACTTGAGTAATTTTTGTCCGATTTTGATGAAATTTGGTTTAAAGGTGTAAAGCGGGATAAACTTGAATGAGTTCGCGAACCAGCACAATCGGACCATGGGAACGAGGCTTTACAGGGGGTTTTATGGGGTAAAAATTGGTTTTTCTCACTTTTGACCCTCAAAACACAAAATTTCCCGATTTCTCTTTAGACCTTTTTAAAGAGCTTAACAAAACAAATAATTTAGTATATAAAAGTATTTTTGTTCGATTATTAGTAACGGAGAAAATTAAAAAAATTGTAAATTTAAAATTCCCATGTTATTCTTATGGAGAATATTGTCAAATGTTGTAGTTCGCTTGTTTATGGATATATTTTGATCAAACTTGGCAAATTTATTTATTTTGTACTAAGCTATCAGTATTTTACTCAAAAACACACTTTATTAGTTTCCTTGTAACAGCAAACCTAGGTACTCGTTAAACCTAATGTTATTAAAATATATTTAACTGAAAATCAATTCAGACAAATGGAAATTCGCTTAGTCGGCAGGTTTGCTGCGGCGGGGGTATTTTCAGTTTGTCTAGTTCGGCCGCTTAGAAAGCGACCTCCTCCAGCATTGGTTTAGCATTAGCGCGCAGGTCGTTTTCTAAGCGGCCGAACTAGGTACATTCACTACAGTATAACATGAAAACTCATATAATTTTATGTTTGCTAATTTTCGGGATTTGTATTCGACGAGTCATTTCCTTATGGGTTTATTATTAGGGCTACAAATCAATAATTGGCTAAATTTAAGTGGTAGACATGTCCCGCTTGAGCTTGGGGAGTGTAGAAAGGAGTTTGAGACTATTTCGTTGCACAAATCATCATAAAAAGTCGAGGATTAAGCTCCTAATATGTTGGGCGTAGTACTACAATAAGATATTTATTGTATCTTGTAGATGGTTGAACCGAAATAGTTTTATCATATAATTCTCTTGTAGGAAATTTAATCTTCTTCAATTTGCTAATTTAGTATTGTATACAAAAAGTTTATCGTTTTTGAGTTATTTACGAAACCCCTAAAAAAGGGGCCTTTAGAGCCCCCTAACCCCCTTAAGCTCCACTCGGTCGGTAGCCTACTTTGAGTATGTTGTTTATTGGGTATATCAATTCTTTCCTCTATTTGGTTTTTTTGTCTTCTTTGCCTCGACTATTGCCATGTTAAGCTTACCTTACAAGAAATATTATGTTGATATTGTCTTGCAATAGAACAGGAGGTTTAAGGTCTCATCTGCTTGCTTCATTTCATTTGTTTACTTTTATTAATAAAACAAAGATAATGGCCTATTTTGTTCAAATAAAAGCTTACATTTGGATTATTTGAATTAAACTGTGTGATATTGTAAATTTGTTTAACAGCGAAGAAGTACAAGGTACATATTCTGATTTTACTATCTCAACCCTATAAAGGGAAATAATAATAAAACTTCCACTGAAGCTGTACGTAAAATATTGAAATACTGACTCTTAACTATGACTAATTAAATATACCAACATCCTAACGATTAATAGCCTAACAATTAGGCTAGACCCAGAGATGAGGAGGTTAACAGGAATTCCATCATCACTATTGTAGCCTGCCCATGACCAACCCGTTCACTGAATTGCATGTTGATAAAAACAGTGATGGCCGAATCGCCTGCAGGCTTAGTCCATCAGTCATTAGTCCGTTTCCTCGGTTCTCAGTCCAGTCCAGTCCAGTACGCTGCCTGCCATGGCCCTGTCAGCTGTGTTATCAGTGTGTCTACTGTGTGTCTGTTGCTTGGTCAAATCTCAGAGACATTTTGTACCAGAGGCTAAATTGGAGTTTTTGAATCCTGATGGCTTAAAGATTTCTCTGCCAGGTATGTAAACATACTTGTACATACGATCCAGAGTAAATAATATATGTTTCACCATTCTGTACAGAAAGTATATTTTGATAAGAGCTGATGATAAGAAAGAAATTAATTGTTTCCCAAGCTCTAATTTAGAACATGGTAAAACCACCAATCAGCTGATTTGCCCTTGCTCTCAATCAGTTGTCAGTTCTACATTTGCCCACTGCATTAGTGTTTGATTACTATTTATTACTACTATAATTGAAATCAGCTGTTTTTACTGTTTAACAATACTAATTTGAACAGGAAATATGCACAAACAAATTTTGCTGTGTTTTTATCTTCTAGTGTTTGTTTACTTCATAATTAATGCAACCATGAACTTAAAATAATGTTTACATTGTCATATAGGCTTGCTATGATTTTTAAAATTGTATTTTCAGTTAAAATTTTACTGATGTACCTTTTTCAGTATGTTTAGTATTTTTGCATCAATGAAAATACTTAATCTTAACTTATACCTTAAGTGATTTTCCAACACTTGCTCCAATTATTTCGGTTTGGCGTTTCTGTGTTCGGCTTTGCCTCACAAGGAAATTGAGCGTGTACTGGAAAATGCCACTTTTCAGTAGTGCAACTATAGACCCATCTTTATCCATCTATGGCACTGGTTTCTATAATATGCTTACAATATTTACAAATGTTATGATTTTAATTTTAATTGTGAAACAGCACCAATATGTATTACCATAGGGCACTATTGTTATTTTGGTATTGTAATTCTATAAAATACTGCAGTTGATTTTTTTAGGTTATAGTAATACAATTCATTGAATTATAGTTTACCCTTTTAACTTGTAATTAAATAATACAATTTCAATTGATATTCTAGAGGTGGAATAACTTTTGCCCTAAATAAAAAGTTTTGACGATTAATGGTTTATTTTTAACACCAATGACATTTTTAGGTTTTCCGCAAAAAACCCCACATCTTGTTCCTATCTAACCTCGACCTTTTGTTAGATAGCACACTTAATTAGTACCACAACAACATAACATCTTAGAAATAAAGGCGAATCACTCGGCTTCCCAGTCTTCCAAATCATATTTTTATTCCTAGACAATTTCCGCACCCAATGATTCCAGTGACTTGCAGATATTTTCTTTTAGTTCATGGAAACAAAAATTCACTAAACTACAAATTATTTTCCCTTAGGCAGTTTCTACAAACATGTATTTCAGTAAATACAAATTATTATTTTTGTAAAACCAGTTCTTGCTAAAAAAACTACTAGAAAAAATATGGTTTCTCATGCTAGTACCGTATAGGTTTCTATGTACCCAAGAACTCCCTGTAAAACTCATTCATTTAGCAAAAATAAATAATATTTGAATTCCAAATCTTCACACATTTTCAATTTATTTTCTTGCGTTGAATCATTTTCAGACTGGAATCCCGCAGTGAAACTAGTCGCTTTTCACATCAACATCAACGAAGAGTTCACTGGCGTAGAGCATGGACAATACGCTGCGGACATCACCAGGAAGAAATCCGGTAGATGGACCTGGGTCATACCTGGGTTCAAGGCTAAACAAGGAGATACAATCTATTACTGGATAAATGTGATTGAGGATAACCAAAGCTACAATGGCCTTGATAGAGAGTACAAGGTCACAGGTAAGTTTGTATTAATTTAGATCCGATTTGTAGAAGTAATCCGTGGTTAATGAGTTTTATAGATGAATTTTCTATACTTGTTTAAATAATTGATACAAGCACAGGTTAAAGAGTAGACATTGGCATTTTACAATTTTGTTCCCAAACATATCATTTTTCAATGTTTTTTCAAACTATTTTGTAGAGCTTAAGCACAAACATAATTTACAATGAGTGTTGTTGTACGCCTAATGGTTAGGCCTATGGAGACAATTCTTTACGTTATTCTTATGGAGAAATGAATCAATTGTTGCAATTTATTGGTCAGGAATATGTTTTGATAAAATTTATAGATAAAATATGGAAAATTTGTTTATACTAACCTATTTCCAATTCAATTAAATAGCTACTTTCCCTATTGGGAAATTTGCTAACACTCCAGCTCTGTGGTTTGCTAGTGATGCACTATGAGCTCAAGATAAAATTGATTGCGCCCCTCTCCATCACCTACATTGTGGGGAAATTATCTTCGTTGGGCCCCCAGCAAACCTAAAACCTCTTGCATCACCACTGGGCCTGGGCCCACCGGTCTCATTTATAAAACCGGCCCTTTAGCAAAATAAATGTATGCTTTTGAAAACCTACATGTACATTTTGCACTGACTATGTTTATTGGACTAATCAAATAACAAGATAAACAGTTTTTAACTTTGTTTGTTACATGTGGCTATTGATAAAGAGGGGTGTGGTGTACAGTATGTGTGAGTAAATGATTCATTTTTATGGGCCAACAGCTCGTTTGTTTTGATTTTCTGTTTATACTTCGTTGTTATTTTATCACCATCGGCAACCCATAAGACCCATGTTATTTTTTTTAAATTTCAAACTAATTTTTTGTGCTTATTTTTTTAAAAATATCTTTCTTACAGGATGCGTAGATTTTCCCTACGATGCACACGAGCTGAGGAAAAAGGTTTTAAAGAAACATGCTTGCCTATTAATATATAGATGGCACTCTGACTGATGATTATCTGATCTTTGAAACAAACAGATTCTACTGCTTTGACAATATTTAACAACAACCTCAAAGACGTGTTTTACTTGTCTCTTTACCTTTTCAGTAAGTAACCCCCACGAAGGAGATGTTGATAGGATTCCAACTTCTCCAGCAACAACAACGCCCAAATCTTGCGTTCCTTCCCAGTCAACTGTCAACGGGAGAACAGCTTGTCAACTGGAAGTGCTCCTGGACAAACGCTTTGACAACTTGGAGGGATGGACTCACCAAGTATCTATAGGAGGAGACCATCCAGTGAGTAAACTTGAGAGGAAATTCAAAAAATGATTTGTAAACAACCAATTTTAACAGTGCCAAGTAAGAAGTAAGGCCATGTTCACATGTGGGCTGCAGCGGCCAAAGCTGCGGTGTGAATTGACCGTCACTCGACAGCCAGTACAGTTTACCTAATTTTGTCTTTTGTTCCGCTTGACAATTCTTTTCAGCAAAAAGTTAAAATCTTGCCACGCAAACATTTTTAAAACAAAATTGTTATAGTCGTTGCATTGAATGTCCCAATGCAACTTCTTTTTTGTTCTTCTTCTACAGAGTTCAGTGTCAAAGTATTTCTTGGTTCCACAGCAGCTTGCATGGCCATTGTAAGCTTGCACTACAAGCACTACATCAACTACAGCTACAGCTAAACACTACACCAAGACACAGAGAGCGATATCCACAGGACGAGCGTGCAGATGTCTGTGATCCTAGTTGCAACTGCAGTCAACTGCGGCGGCTTCCGCCCTCATGTGTAACATCCAACATCCAAACTCATGCCAACACTAGTAACTCCAACCATGCGGAAGCCGTGGTGGTCGAAGGGAAATCTACAACCACCGCGGTTTGTTGTGGTTGATTGAAAGTGGGCGGTTGCATGTGAATGGTCCCATTTGCACCTTAGTACAGTAGAGTCCCGCAAACTTGGCACTCGATAACCCGGCAGTCTGGATAACTCGGCCATCACCTGGCTCAGAAAATTAGTGATTTTTTGAGTCCGAGTTAATCATGGACTCAAGCCAGCTTAAGTCAAATTATTCTAAACTGGTACTAAGGATTTGTTGTACTTTATCTGATGACTTAATACTGATTTGTAATATAAATATAAATAAAAAAGGCGGTTAAAAAGCTTAGAAACTTTATTGCTCTTATTTTTAACCCTAGTTCCCGATAACCCGGTATTTCACAAACTCGGCACCCTTTCAGTCCACATTACGCCGAGTTTCTGGGACTCTACTGTAATATCAACCCCCGTGGTTCACACACAACGACAGGACCTAACACAAACAGTTGAAACACTAAGTAGATAAGAGTGGCGCGGCCAGTTGGAGGGTTTAAGTTAATTTTCTAATCTGATATTTTTTCAGGATGATGAGTTTACAATCTTCTTGAAGGAATCTTACGCCAGCTGGGCAGAAGGTGGGAAACTGTTTATCAAACCTTCCCTGCTAGAAGACAAATACAACGACTCATTTGTCAGGAGTGGAGAAATGCTTCTCCCAGGGTAAGCTATTATGTCGTAAATGAGTGTTTGTGCCACAAGATAAGTAATGAGAAGCATGCAGTTTCATCTAGTTAACAAATACTTAGAATATAATACAACTTATCACACCTTTAAATCAATTCTCCATAGATATTATTGTCATTTCCTTAATGATGCTAAAATAAAATACAACGTCCTGTGAAAGGAGGCAAGATGAGCATGATGAAATAACAAGTCTCACTCATTCTTTTGAATGTACCATGCTGTATTTACAAAGCCCAGCTTCTCAACCGAGCTCTCAGCCATAAACCGAATTCCTCATGTTATTAACTATGTTATTGCAATTCCTATTAATCTTGTAAAAACATCTCATTTCGCTCCTGATTGAAACTGGATTTGAACCCTCAGTCTATAATGCTGTCTCCTTGGAGATACAACACCTTATACTGATCGGCTATTGACTTAGCTGTCACACAACTACTAACTACATTGTCAAGTAAATTTTAAGTTCACTGAATTCATATGCTTAAGTAATCTTTTTTTTGTGTCAATATCAGCTGCACCTCATCGGTCCCTGTTCAGTGCAGTAAACGAGCGAGTGCTTTTTTGATTCTCCCCCCTATCATCTCTGCTCGGCTGACTACCAAAGACAATTTCAGTTTCCGATACGGGTTTGTTGAAATTCGGGCAAAGCTACCACAGGGGATGTGGATTGTACCAGGTAATCTATATATTCACACTCGTAGCACGTATAAATTACATCGATGAATAATTTCATTCTTGTCACACTAAAAAATTCAACTGATTTGAGAGGATTTGATTTTAGTAAGTAAAGGCTGAAAAATCTAGTGTTGACTCTTGTTAGTAATTGATTTATGTACGGTAGTTTAATCATTAATTGTAACACAATTGTAACACATAGGTTAGTAGCAACTAAATTATATGCGCTTTAGAAACAACAACTTTTGAATACAGGGTGTGTTAAAGTTTCAAGACTGGTATCAGGAAAATAAATTAATTGAAAATGTGAAACAGGCACGTGACATTGTTTCTTATTTGAAGGCATGTTGAAGTGACTGAAGTGTTTCCACGCCAATCATGACACAGGATTTTATAGAATAACGCTGCTCCTTCAAAAGCACACAATATAACACTACACAGGTCACGAAACGCACATAACTTTGCACGTAAAGCTTTCTTTCTAATGTGTCGCTGGCATCCGGAGGAGGATTCAGTCACTTACCTGAGACCCTCCTGCACCCAGGCAGAGCCACCTGCCGGGTCTGGAAGCGCTCCGCTACATTGCAAATAATCAGTCTTGAAACGTAATTAACACCCCCTGTACTATAACAAACACAGCTTTGTAAGATCTTTAGTTTCAAATTAATTTGATATTCGTTTTAATACAAAACTTGCGTTACACACAATTCTTACATTTTGCACCATGTCTCTTTATCCTTCCTAACTTACAAATAGGAAACAAACATTGAATCTAGGACAAAAATTAAAAAAATCAAATTTCAACAAATCAAAAACTACTGTAGTTTGTTTTCCTCTGTCAGAACTGTGGCTGGAGCCAGTGAATGGTCCGGTCTCAGAGAGGGTGGTGGTTGGTCTGTCTCGGGGCAACATGGATGACACCGAGTTTGGGTGGAAAACGTTGGAGGCCGGAGTAACAGGAGCTCAGACATCCTTGAGGAAGAAAACACAGGACACTCCTTGGGCGCAGGACTTTCACACGTTCAAACTTGTCTGGACACCAGGTAGTGATCATATTATGTGTGGATGATGGATAAATTGTTATCAAAGACAATATGAAAAGAATTAGACATTTATTTCCCATGTAAAGCTGGGTAAACAGAGTGCGGAGATTTCTGCTTGTCCATTGGCGATCGGGTGGCTGAGCATCTAGGAAAACAGTACCATTAAACTACCTAAGACAAGAGGAGTTTTATAAGTGAATGAAGTTGAATTGAGCCAAGAGTGTTTTGAAGAGTGTTTTGATGTAAATCACTGATTTCTGACTAACATGCCAAGTTTTTATCCTAGACAAACTGAGTGTACAGCTCATGGAGCTAACATATTATTAAGTAATCAAATATTACAGTAACTTTAATACTTTAATGCTTTTCATTGAAATGGCGACCATACAAAGTAGGTATTTTAAGCCAAGTATGAATGGAGATGAGTGTAGGATGAGTCTTGTTGTAGGATGATCTTAGGGCCCTATTACACTAGGTCACCAGGCGACGTCACCGGTGGCGTCACCGGTGACATGACTGGTTGGTGGGCATTGGTTCTTATGGCGCCTATTACACTAGGGTCACTGGTTGCGTCACCAGCCTTTGGTGACGGACCGGTGACTCTGCCCCGTGACCAGACGAGTAACCACTGGTGACCAAGATTTGTCGCTGGGCATTGAATCAAATGAGACATATTACACACAGTCACCGCGGTTGCGTCACCACTGTATATTTGTGTTCTGCAAGTTCAGATTGTTGCCAGTGTAGTGAGTGGACGTATTGTCGATAAACTATGAAGAATTGCTACTACATTCAGTTTCTTTTTCATCACCACCTTTCACAATACACTGGCTTTTTTACTGAGTCATCTTCCCTTGTTCCCTTCCCTGCATCTCGTCCGCGCTTAATCAATAACTGTTGATCACTAGACTTTTTTTACTGAAAAGTAGTAACTTATATAACTATATAACTTAACTTAACTATAACTTAATAACTTAAACTGAAGAGTAACAACGAGGTGACAGCGCTAAATGTAGACACTGGCTGGAGTGGAGGAACTTTGGGGGTTGGTCTCACTCCTGGTGACTTCTCTGGTGTTCAGGCCATCGATGTATAATAACTCTACGTTCAGGCTGGCTGCCCGTACAGTAACCGGTGACGTCACCGGTTACTGTACGGGCAGCCAGTGTAGTGAGTGGACGTAATGTCAATGTCTCTTTAACACAATCCTCTTGGTTTTAGCGAATTTCCCTATAGGGAAGTAGCTATTACCGTAGGTGGCATGGTAAGACCTAGGCCCGGGACCGATTTACTTTTTCATTTTGATGTCCCCAGAGGCCCCAAAAACACCATTCGTTCAAATTTTTGTATATGTATATATATATATATATATATATATATATATGTGTGTGTGTCCGTGAACACGATAACTTGAGTAATTTTTATCCGGTTTTGATGAAATTTGGTTTGAAGGTGTAAGGCGGGATAAACTTGAATGAGTTCGCGAACCAGCATGATCGGACCATGGGAACGGGGTTTTTCGGGGGTTTTATGGGGTAAAAATTGGTTTTTCTAATTTTTGACCCTCGAAACGCAAAATTTCCCAATTTATCTTGAGACCTTCTTAAAGAGCTTAAAAAAACAAATAATTTAGTATATCAAAGTGTTTTTGTACTATTATTAGTTACGGAGAAAATTCAAATAATTGTTATTTTAAAATTCCCATGTTATTCTTATAGGGAATATTGTAAAATGTTGTAGTCTGCTTATTTATGGATATATTTTGATCAAACTTGGTAAATTTATTTATTTTATACTAAGTAATTAATATTTCTCTAAAAAAGCCTATGTACTCATAAAAATTAATGTTAATTAAATACATCTAATTGAAAATCAATTCAGGCAACTGGAAATTCGCTTAGTCGGCAGGTTTGCTGCGGCGGGGGTATTTCCCTTTCTTATGGTATCTTTTTCACCACTACATTTTACACTACTGTAGACTGGCTTTCTTTCACTGAGTCGTCTTCCCTTTTTCCCTTCCCTCCATCTCTTCCCCGCTTATTCACTAATTTTTGATCACTAGACATTTTTTAAACTGAAGAGTATTACAGGTTAAGTGTAAGAGAGGGCCATGTGGCCTTAACTTTGCATCATTTTAATTTCAAATCATTTTTAATTTCACTCTTAACTCTTACTCTTAAACTGAAATAACTATACAACTTAACTATAATTGTTAGAACTCGTGTGAAATAAATAACTTTTACAAAATATTATCTAATAAAGAACTGTTTTATTCTGATAAATAACAAATATTTAAAACATTTTCTCTGTATTGTTCTGTTCTTCATCACTTTAAATCCATACCACAACTCTTATTTTGATATAGTATAGATTCAAGATTGACCAACAATAATAGTAATTTAATAGAACAGAAGACGCGGATTACAGAGCACTTTGTCCTTCAACGAGGTGACAGCGCTGAGGTGGCATCCCATCTCAACAATTGATAATTGAATGTATGTAGACACTGAAGTGGAGGAACTTTGGGGGTTGGTCTCACTCCTGGTGACTTCTCTGGTGTTGAGGCTGGCTGCCTGTACAGTAACTGGTGACGCTACCGGTGACGTCGCCTGGTGACCTAGTGTAATAGGGCCCTTAAAGTCTTGTTAGTGACTAAGGCCGACATATTCCTTAGACACAGCAGTTAATTAATTGCCCATACAGCTAATGGCAACTAAGGAACCTACAGTTTATAGTGGAATCCGAACCTTATTTTTGCCTTGGTATTAACGAATTGGTCTAATTATCGGGATAGTAGGCTACTGCGGATAGTGGTAGTACTCACTAGTGCGGTAGTGATCCACACCAGGGGGTAACAAAATTTAAGGGAAGAAAGGGAGTTTTAGACAGCATTTTCTGTGAGTGGCTCATTCTACAATATATCTTTAGTAAAAAATACCCCTGCCTCAGCAAATCTGCAAATTTAAATATGTCAGATTTATTCTCTATTCAAGTAAAATGAGGTTTAATGAGTACCTATTTGCTGCTACATTGAAGGATAAAAGTGTATTTAAGTAACATGTTCGTAGTTGAGCAAAAAAAATATATTCTCCAAATGTTATCAAAATATATTCATAAGCAAGCAAACTACATTAGTTTACTTATGAACACACATTCTGGTATTTTATATGTAACCTTTACCCACAACAATGCTTTCTACAAGATTATTTATGATTCAGGTAAAATGCAGTTTTTCGTGGATAATCAACAATTCCACGAGGTTGCCACTGGAAGTTATCCCATTATGAATAAAGAGGTAAGTTGCAGGTAAACTCTCTCTCGGATTAAATATACAGTATAACCAAGTTGGGCTATACAAGGTGTACCACAAAGAGGTGGCTATTTTTGAATTAATACATTAGATGTATTGAACACTCTACAAACTTGAAACTCTGCAAAATACACATTTCTAAAAAATATCCCAGAGTTTCATTTGAAACTGATTAAGGAGAAAAAAATAGCAGAAAAACTTAATCACTATTACATCATCAAAAAAGGTTTCCTAGTGTGATTAAACAAGTGTATGCAATTTATGGAAATCAATATTTATGAAAGATAAGGATCAAATAAATTTAGTTTATGGTTCCCTCACCAGTGTTCGATTTATAAAAAATTAGATCCGGAACTGTAACCTATTTAGTTAATGTGGTTAGACCTATTTATGCCATTATATTTATCTTTCCGAAAGAGAGGTACCGGAACTCAGTTCTGCCACAAATAAAGCACAGTTTTCCCCTATATTTCAAACTACGTAAGCTGTCAAAACTGAAATGAGAAATGTTTCATTTATATAGCAAACTCTACCTGGGTAATGATCAGAAGAGGGGATTTATACAGTCAAAAACACTTAATATTTTGACACCATTAATTCAATAATATAACATCCAAAAAACTGTTGTAAGCATATTTTTACAGTTGATATATTAACTTCAACACCAGAAAGTTGATGAACATTCAGCTCATCCTTTTTTCAAGTTAGCTAACTGAAATCTTTTCTTTAAAACTTCTTTAAGAACTCTTCAAATCTATTCTAGCTTATAGTTACCAACATTTTTCATTTTCAGGTGTTTGTTTCACTTGGCGTACATGTAGCAGGATTGACAGACTTCCCTGACAACATTACAGGGAAACCCTGGAAAAACAGTAGTCCAAAAGTAAGTACATTGATATCTATAAGAGACTATAGCTGTTACCCGCAAAGTATTGATAAAACTGTTGATTGCCATAATAGGTTGGTGGCATTTCGAGTGGCATCTCATGGTTACTTCGAAGAACAACATTGGAAGAACAACATAAGCTGTTAGGGCAGAGCCCTAGGAGAGTATTAAAATAAAAGATTACTCTAAGCCTGTGGTTATATAGGCTCTATTCTTGGAAAAGATCAGCAATGTAAATAAAGTAGTTTTCACGTTATTGACATACTCCATGTATCTATAATTTTAGTTCCTTCTATCCAAGTCATTGACTTGATCAGTAATGTACTAAAATTATTAATATGCTACTCCGTTTCCCAGACATTGTTTTTTGGGGAAACAAACACAATACTTTTTTTTGGAAAAATTTGAAAAAAATAAGATCATTAAGTTGATGGATTAATTATGCACTTAAAAATAATAAAAAAAATACCCTATTCGCACAATACCACAGCAATTTAGTATTTGACAGTTCCCATTGTGTATCACAGCGTTTTTTTTTTGCTGCTTTTTTCGAATTAGCTGTTATCATAAATTCAAACAAAAAGTTAATAGTGCCTGTTGGTAAACCTTGTAACTTTATTACTAGCCGGTTTACCCTTGCTTTGCAACGGGGTCAAGATGCAGAAGAGACAATTTTGGTTCCTTGAAAATAATGGCAAGCAGCTTAAGAACGCACATACAGAGAACAATTATTATGTTCCCTAGATCTGCTGTATGTAGGTAGACTTTTATTAATTTACTATTAGTATTACCGGTAACTGGCTACATAAAGTTAACTGTAAAAAATCCATACATTTCATGTATCACAGCTTTTTATTTCTACTTGCTTGGTACAAAATTAGCTGTTGTCATCAATTCAAACAAAATGTTAATAGTACCTTTGGTAAACCTTGTAACTTTATAATGCTACTAGCAGCTTTACCCGTGCCTTGCAACAGGGTCAAGATGCAGAAGAGACAATTTTAAGAACGCTAAGAGAACAATTATTATGTTCCCTAGATCTGCTGTATGTAGATATCTCTTTGAAAGGAATTCATGTCGAAATAATGTTGGCTATATAAATCTATTACTTTTCACTGATAGTAAAGTGTAAACTTAACTTAAAAAAGACCCATCACACCAATAGATTCAAAATATCCCTGGGAAAACCCCTGTAAAGTGGCCCTCTACTTTCAAACTATTTTAATGCACTAATTACAAGTTTTTTTTAATTCTTTGATTTAAAAAACCCCAACAAATCGTGAAAAATAAAACCCCCTCACCTGACATTTAAAAAACATTTTTTTAAAAGGTAATTTTATAAATTAAATTTGATATTTTCTAGCCTATTGTGTGGGAGAAATATGACTTGTACATTTTGGAAACTTACAACATGATGGAGGTAAATAAAATACAATTTATGAGGCTAACACTGTTTATTAAACTGTTTAACATTGTTGCTTTTACCTATTGCATGCTAAATTGTCTTAAGTTTCAAACAATTTTGCATGTAACTGGGTATTTTGCCATTAGTCCGAAGAGGCAATCAAAAAGTATTCTAATCCAATAAACACATAGCCTCTGATTATAGTTGAATTAATTTAGATTTAGTTGGAATCAGGCAGTTAAAAATATGATTAGTAAGCCAATTCTAACAATCTATTCATGCTTTTAATCCTTTAATTGCATATTTAAATAACTTAACATATACTAATCTCTCGCAAAAGTAGTTGAAGTAAGTATTCTAAATGATCCAATATACCTACGGTACTAAATTAGTAATTGTGAATTGCTTTTCAGTTAAATTATATTTATTTCTTAATACTATAATCTTATTGGTCCTACTGGTGTTAGCATGGGGAGCGAGCTGGCGTAGTGGTTAGAGCGCGGGACTTCAGTCCCTGAGGTCCCGGGTTCGATCCCCGCCAAGTCACCAATGGATTTTATCTAAGTGATAATGCCGCAACCCCTAGGTCTATCCTGAAAAAATTTGAAAAACAATCCCAGGCATGTGCCTAGCGTCCTAGGACAAAAAAAAAACAAAAAAAAAACTGATGTTAGCATGCAGAGTAGCTTAGACTACAACTGACTTTTAGAGGCTAAACGATGAGTAAATACACGTTAATTCATGGCCGTTAAAAGCTATGAGCTTGCAAGTTCAACTGGAGCACTGGAGTTCAACCTAAACAGCTGGTATCAAAGAGTTACCATGTTAGGCCAGGGACACACTTACCGGCGAAACCGCCGGATGCCATATCCGGCATCGCTGGAGCAAGTTGAGATACACAGGAAGGCATGGGGCAGGCTACACTTCTCCGGTTCAGCGAAACTGCCGATCCGGCGGTAAAATGCTCCGGCAAAACCGCCGGATATTCTCTACCTCGCCGGATTGGCGGTTTCGCCGGCCCAGCGGGTAGCGGGGCATTGTGCCTTATGGAGGTGAACACACATACCGGCGAAACAGCCGGAACTCCGACTGCCCCCACTCCTCAGTCGTGGTTCAACCCTCAAGGGTAGTGGTTGTTTTTTTTTATTATAGCACAGTGTCCAAGTGGTGTATTTAGTTAATTTAGTTTTCATTTTTAGTCTGTTTAGTTTTCTATATCATCATGGTAGATGTTGATATGGATTTACTTATTACAGTAGTTTGGTTCATGAGAAACCAGAACTTTGGGATAGGTCTGTGGAAATTTACAAAGATAAAAACAAAACGAGGGACAGCTGGTGACAAATTTGTGCTGCACTGAATCCAGCCTTTCCAGCGTCTCATGTTATGTGTCTTGTCCTTGTAGTTGCACTATAATCTTCGACATTAGCTCGTCAAATAAGGGGACAGACATTCTAAAATAATTAAAAAACTTATTTTTTTTCATTTCTCAACTGTAAAATAGAGTGTAAAAAGCTCCATGTAGCTGACTGTTCTCCAGAATGATGCACCCAAACAGTTCGGTGGTGTTTTATCTTCCTTCAGTTCATTGCACTCTATTTATTGTCGCCGGCTCCGGCAAAATAGTTTTCACCGGAACAAGTGTGTTCTGACCCTCAACCTTCGGCGGATCCGGCGTCCGGCAGTTTCGCCGGTAAGTGTGTCCCTGGCCTTAACGTATACACACACATATTGACCTCTCAGGACGTCAAAACAAAAAATTTTGATTCCTGTTCTAGGTCTTAGCGTGAGATTAAAATCAATATTAATGTTTCAGAGGTTCCTCAGATTTTGGGACGCCAAGAGCTCTTGGTATCCTTCTTGGAATCAGAACTCAGCCCTGCAGATTGAATCCATCAAGATAACTGCTATTTAATCAGTCTCGAGAATTCCTAAATATCTCCTTCTTATAACAAACCAAATAAATATTTTGATGATTAAATAATTGACTGTGTTACACTATAGTTGTGTGTTTGTTTTTGTAATAATATGGTAATATTACCTAACAAAGTAAGTTATATTTTGATTGACATTGCAATGATTAGAAATAAATTAAATAGAAATTAAATGTATGTTGATTTTGATTTCCTATTAAGAAATAGTAGAGGTCGTCCAGTAGTCGAAAACTCAACCAAAGTATGTACAGACTTCTCTATTTTCACCCCACGCTGTAAATAAAACATGTGATTGGAATTTCTTTCATTTGTTTTGATTTTCTGTTTTTATTTCGCTTTTATTTCTTCACCAGCAACCCATAAGGCCCATGTTAATTTTCTTCAAATTAAAAATCAATTTTTTGAGCTTATTTTTTAGCCTATTTTTAAGGGATTCTGCACATCTATTTGAAAATATCTTTCTTACAGTATGCATAGATTTTCCCTGCGATGCACACGAGCTGAGAAAAAATGTTTTAAAGAAACATGCTTGTCTATTAATATATAGATAAAGCTATTTAGGGATGAGGGATAGTTGATGTATTGCCATATATTGAGGAGATAGTCTCATTGTCAAAATTTAAAGTTAATAATGAAATATTTCATTGTTTGCTTAGGAAACTGAATTACTGAAGTAGACATATATCTATAAACCAGCTTTAAATATAGTGCTATATTGCCTGGTTACTGTCCAAAACTATATGTTGTAGGAACCTTGATAACAAGACCCTCGATAACAAGTCACCCTTTTTAACAAGTGTCATTTTCTAATCCCCTTGAATTTTATTTTATACCTAATCACTTGTTATTGCAAACCTCGATAAGAAGTCAACCTTGATAACTATAGTTCGGCCGCTTAGAAAACGACCTGCGCGCCAATGCTAAACTAATGCTGTAGGAGGTCGCTTTCTAAGCGGCCGAACTATAGTATTTTTTAATAATCCCCATGAGAGTCTTGTTATCGAGGTTCTACTGTAGTTTACTAACACTAGAGCTGTTTCGTGCTTCAGATGGAGCACATAACATAACAAAGCTTGAAACATCTGCAATCTTGGTAAACTAAAAAGGATCGTTTTGGACAGTAACCAGGTAAAACCACTATAGTTAATTCAGAAGATCCAGAGGCCATTCCATCATGAAGAAGTCAGCCTTAGCTCATTTCTTTCTCTTTTTTTTTTTTTTTTTTGTTATTATTAAATCAGTTACATTAGCGCTTCATAGAGTTTTCTACAGTTTAATTTGTATTTTCTATTTAAAACTATGGTAGTGGGAAAATACCAAATAAATAAATTTCTCCTACAGGTCATTATCCCTTTGCTCTTCATTCCCAATCTCCAAACAAGGATAAAGAATTTGTATGATAAAGAAAACTGAATGTTACATTCAGCACACACACTGTCGGTAGCCCAACTGATCCAAGTTAAACTGTAAAACTACCTTAAATTCAACTTGGAGCTTTTGACTAATGTCACAACTAGAGAGTCTATGTTTAAGCTTTCAATTGTTTTTCAATCAAAATCATTGAAGTTTATGTGAGCCACCGTCAGATTGTGCTGATGTAGATTACTGATATCTGTTGAATAAGGTATTTTACAAAGTGGAATTCAATATTTTTGTCATATTTTTATCATAACTTCCAAAGCAATAAATAAGTTTAAAGTTTAAGCATTCTCTTATAACAAAAAAATTTTTTGATGATGAATCTTGTATTAGTAAAACACCTTGAAATATATGAAGTTAGTATTTGACTACTTGTTTTTTTATGGTAAAATATTTTGGATTGATGGTTTCGATTAGGAAATTCGATCTTGTGATCAAAGAATTTTGGTATATTTACAATGAAATAATTGCAGTATAGCCTACTCATACATAAATATTCATTAACATCCCTCAATAAAAACCAACTGGAAGTTTGAATAAATGGAAAGATTTTAACATATTAATATTTTAGTCTCACTATGATTTTATTTAACCTACTCCACCGAAGAAATCACAACTGAATACCAAAATAAACTATGATTATACCAACTCCCATAGTTCTAAACGAGTTATGACTTCCCGCCAGATGATTTATTCAACAGCTGATAAGACAAGCTTATAACACATTCTGTGTGCGAGCGACGGAACTACCTCAACTCGCACGTCTTTGACAACCACGTGACTTGATTGTTGGCTTTGGTGGTCTTTGACTGGAACGAGAGCGCCACAGTACGACTTTGACCGCTAAAGCGAAAGTGTCTCGTATTAATTGGGTTCTGTGATTGGTGATTGCTCTGGGAAAATTATGTGATTCTGGATTGGTCGCTTTCAAAATAATCAAAGGTATTTATTTATATTGCGTATTGGAGTTTAACATTTTAACATGTATATATTAATTATAGTTAATTTCCTACTCCAGTAATACTCATAATATTGTTTTTAACTACTGTATTTTATACTCTTTCAATTTTATTAACCTGTAGGTAGAGATTTATTCTGTATGGGGTTCGTCCAAGATTTATGTATACCTGACTGAAAACGAAGGTTTGTTAATATTTATTAGAGAATGTATACTTTGAAACACCATTTGTAAAATAAATGACGAATCGTATTATATTCTTGTAATTTATTATTATTCTAGCTAAGCCAAATTTAATTATTTCTTGTTGGGTTTACGTAGAAAAATTAAATGATATATTAGCACAAATAAATAAAAAAATCTAACTAAATATCTAGTTTTTTTGCGAATTTCTTTTACAGGAAAGAAACTACTGTATTAACACAGGTTTTATGTGCTATTACCGTATGTCACAAGGTAATACCCACATCCAGGATCGATAGGGAATAAGTATTATTTGTTTTAAGAACTCAAAGTGGAATTAAATGCAAGTTTGCCTAGGTTGCAGTTTTGCTGCTGTGGGGACATTTCTTTTTAGAACAGTTCCGCCGTTGGCTTTTAGCCAACATTAGAAATACTTTCATCTATCTAAATTATTTCAAACTATCTATATATTAATAGGCAAGCATGTTTCTTTAAACCCTTTTTTCTCAGCTCGTGTACATCACAGGGAAAATCTACGCATATTAGTAGGAATATATTTTCCTGTAGATGTGCAGAATCCCTTTATAAATTAAAATAGGCTAAAAAATAAGCACAAAAATGAATTTAAATTTTAAAAAAATTGACATGGGCCTTACAGGTTGCCATGATGTTGACAAAAAATCAAAACAAATGGAAGAAATTCCAATCACATGTTTTATTTACATTGTGGGGTAAAAATAGAGAAGTCTGTACATTACATAATTTTGGTCAAGTTTTCGACCACTGGACGACCTCTAGTTTCAATTAATATGTTGTCAATAATAGGAGCACAATTAAATTTTCTGTCAGCAATTTATTTTTAAAATAAAATAAAACAAGCGGTAATACGATCTACATAATCATCTTCATTGATTGTGCTGTGCATTAGAAAAATGCACCAGTATTGAATGTTAGAAAATAATTCCATCGACATCTACTGGAGAAATATAAATATGAAATTTTAAATATCAAAGAATACAGTAGGTACCTTGTTTATAAGCAGTATATGTAGGTCTTTAGGCCTAAACTGAGATAGTGGTTATCTTCACGCATTTTAAACACTTTACTATCTCAAGGTCCATTTTTATGATTCTTATGACTGCGTACTGCACAGCCTCGCTATTGCATTTATAACTGCAATTTTAGTGTGCAAACAGAACGTTGGAAAAGGCCGTAGATCTCCTCTTCATGTGTCAAATTGATTTGAAAAAACTCAAGCAGTTTGTCATTCACACAATAAACTAATCGCAAACAACTTATTTTGACGTGTTAAATAAACCATCTAATCAAAGATTTTCAGCGGCTTAATATGTGCTGATTTGGAACTTTTTGGACATAATAGATTGATATAATTTATTAGACCTAATAGATATTGATTGTCTGTTATTTTTGTGTCTCAAATTTAAATTTCAATCCAATCCAAATATAAGCCCATCAAGTATTTAAAACATTGATGAACTGGGGTTAGAACCACTTGTTTTTTAATTGTTTACACAAACAGTCGTGTTTTTAAATGTGTTAGTCCTACATGAAAAGTGTATAGGACAGTATAAAGTTTAAAATCCTTAACGTAGCGGCGTCTTGTTAAGCAAATTATTTCTAGGAATACATATGAATGATTACATGGATGATGTAGGGAGGCAAAAGTTTGATGTGTTATTCTGATAGCAAATACATTTATTCGTCACGGGGAATGAGCTCTGAAAATCAAAGCACGAAAACGTGATTTTCTCACTGTTTTCTCGAATATCAATACATAGAATGATCCCTATAAGCTTAAGAGGTTCTACATTGTTGTGATTGACGTTTTGATAATGCATTGAGTACTCGCGGAAACACATTCTTATGTAAACACAAATTATCTTGAGATTGACCTAGTAATTTTTTTATAGTAGCATTGAATATACAACAATATAGTGTTACATTTTCAATTCTACTGGCCCTTTACTAAGGTCTCGTTTACAAAAGCTCACAACACTCCAAAGAACGCTAATTTTGTTTTACATTTTCAACGTTCTTAAGTGTTTTCAAGATAGTTTTCCCCCACAAGAAGCTGTAAACAAATGTCTACATGTTTTAAACCACGTTTATACCGGAGTTAGTTTAAAACGTCGTTATCAACGAATGTGCAATATGTTTCAAACTCTGGCGTAAACGTGGCATAAGTTACAAGATACAAAATAATTGTTTTGTATGTTTGATCAATAAATTGACATTTTTACGTTGATTGCACGTTTTGGATATCAATGTATTTCGAGCAGGTATACTCTACTAGTTACTCCATGCCGGACAGGTCTACCTCAAAGATCAGTGAGGCAATTCAAGGTTTGGCTCATCGAGTTTCGACCAGCGAACACAGAATAAAAAGGTTTCGACCGCCAGTTGTTTTTGTCTCGTTCTGTAAAACGATGCAAATGAGACCACAAAACTAACGTTAAGCGGTTAAATCATTCATAAGAGTCAAACCTCAGGCTTTTGATAACATGTTTTCTGAGAATTTCGAATTTTCAACTGATAAGTTATTTGCTAAACTGACA